CGAGGAGTGACTGGTAGGTTTGAACCACCAGCCTTCTGGTTAGCCTTAGGCACTATGTTACCAGAGCTCCTCCATTCCTGATAAGCATGCATAAACCTGGATCTCGATACATTTGCCTGTCCTAGATGTCTCATATAAAGGGACTCTCACAGTATTGGTTCATTTGTGACTTATTTCACTCAGTGTGATGCTTACAGGGTTTATATTGGGACACATACCGGGACTTCATTTCTCTAGGTGGCTGAATAACGTAATAGCCCGTTATACAGACAGATCATATCTTCTTCATCTGCTCACCTGTTGATAGACGTTGAGGCCGTGTACACCTTTTGGCCTCTTGTGTGCAGTGCCTCTCTCTTTCATGTGAATGGATGTGTGAGGGTCATCAGGTATCAAATCTCTGACCTGCAGGACAGAGACCAGCAAAAGCAAAACAAAACTAAGCAGATAAAGGAACTTGGAGGAATCAGTGATGGTGTGAAGAACAGAAGAAAACCTAGGAAAACAAGATCACATCAACAAAACCCTCACCCCCACGCATTGTCTCAGTGACAACGCTGCAGAGTCATCAATGGAAGATCATGCAAGGACCCTCAGGAAGTGAAGATAGGATAGTTGAAATTTAGAGATACTTACATGTAATGTCTGAATGGTTGGTCAAGCTGAAACAATATCCCAGGAACTAAAATGCGACAGCAAAGAGGAACAAAAAGGACCGAAAATGACAAAATTGATCTTGAGTTCCATAGAGAGAAAATGGAAAATGGAAGAGAGAAAATTCTTGGAATTGAAAAATGTCCGGACTCAGGGACACGAGTGAAAGGCCAGAAGAATCCACCGTGTGTCTGTGGTGGTGGTTGGGTACTGTCGGGTCGAGTCTAGCTTGTAGTGACCCCACGTGCAGAGCAGACATGCCCCATCGGGTTCTAGGCGGTGATCAATCTGGAAGCAGACTGCTGCGCTGTGGAGCTGTGGGTAGGTTCCAGTCACCGCTGACCGTCTCCTGCACCACCAGGGCTCCTTCCCAAGTGCCTGGCATTCTGCATGAGTAAGAGCCACACTGAAGCATGCTGTTGTGGCATTTCAAAACTCAGGATAAAGAGAAGATCTCCATGCTGCTGAGAGATAAAAGCAGGTGGATCCCTGTCAGATGGCTGGAGCCAGGCCCCTGAATTCTCAGTGGCGACACTGGAAGCTAGAAGATGGGAGCAGTGCTTCCAGGATTTTGAGGGAAATGATTTCCAGCCTGGGATTCTATACCCAGCCAAATTAACCAGTCACGGCTGAGGTAGAAATCAACACGTGCCGTGACACCTGTGGAAAGTATCTTGAATTTTCCTTCTGTGACAGAGTTCCACCTTACAAGGTTCTAGCTCTCACAGGTTCACTGTTCAAGTTCTCAAGCAGTGATTCCTCACATCAGAAGGAAGGAGAGAGGAAGGACCCTGTAGGAACACAGAGGACTTCAGCAGTGAGGGACACAGATAAAGGACACAGTGCATTAGCCTGAAGGAGACAGAGGGACAGCCCAGCAGCAGCTGTGTAGACATGCCGGGGCCGTTCCCAGACGGGAGTGAGACAACAGGGGTGGGGCTGGGGTCCTCCAGGAATGAAGGACACGCAGAGAGAGTCCCATGATTCTGGCCATGCAGAGGCTGTACAGAGTTAGAGTAACGCCTCCTGGGGGGTACAAACAGCTAAGCACTCGACTAGCCAAAACGGTAGTTCGAGCCACATCACCCCTGCCCCCTGGTTGCCTCAGAAGACAGGCCTGGCAACCTGCCGTCAAAGGCCACAGCCTTCAAAACCCTGGGAGCAGCAGTTCTTCGCACACCTGGGGTCTCCGTGAGTCAGTCAACGTGACAGGAACAATAATGGGAAGAATCATTAGTGAGACATGGAAATCCAAGCAGAGGCAGGTGGACTCCGGGAAGGACCGCATCTTCCTGTAAGAAAGGAAGTGTGACCCCTGCAGGGGGAGCTTAGTGAACCTTAGTGGAGCTAACTGCATGGGAGTGCAGTGACCCACGGCGGTGGTGGAGGACCGACCAGCAGGGGGAGCTCATGGTCAAGGGAACCTGGCTCCGCTTCCTCGGTGGCACTGAGATGTGTGCGTACCATCGGGAAATAACTACCAGAGCACGTTGACTAGAAACACAGGGCAGATGTGAGAAGAGTCAGCCGGGGGTGCGCTTCTGGGGGGCGGGACGGGCCAGGAGGGGTTTTCTGCTCTTTGACTCTACAACAGGTACCCGGTGACTTTGCTGAACCACAGAAGTGAGCATGAGAGCCTTCCAGGGGGTCCCAGCCAAGAAGCCCTGAGGCCTGGTTTCTTCTGTCCCCAGCGTCCAGTGGGAATCCTGCTGGGTTCCACCCCATGTTAGTCGTTAGTCGGCAGAGGTTACAGCAGGGCCTGTGGCACCAGAACCTTGAGAGCCACGTCACTGCAGGGGGAGGGGGGCACGGGAGGGGGAGGAGGGTACTGCAGGGAGGAGGAGGGCACTG